CTTCTGTTGGTGGCAGTTCTGGTCCGGGCCCTAAGATTGAGGAAGTGGATTAAGAATAGAATTTTTAGACCAGAGGAATAATCTTTGGCATCTGGAAGTGTGTATGTGATTGTGTCTCGTCCAACTCTGGTTTCTGTTTGGAATTCTGCTACTGTGTTAGAAATAATCTTTCGTGTTTGGAAGCTCGTTAACTCAACCGGTTCTTAATGTAATCTCAAAGTCATCCTCTGGCTATTTTATGTGAAAAATAATTAGTAGTGTGTTTCAGGAAGTAGTGACATCGTCAACTTCTAATTTCTCGGGTTTTTCATTATTTATCATAGAAAGCAGGTAGTTCGTATAACAAATTTTAAGTGAGGAAAAATGAACTACTTACTAATTTGTCAAGGACTGATGAAGAGCGAAGATTAAGGTTTATTTGGCCAGACTTTAAAAATTGAAAATTGTTTTGAGATTGTAAAGTTATGAACACGTGTTAATAATTTTTTTTTCTAATTTTTGATTGTTTGATAGCCAATTTTTTTTTTTTTCTCTCACAATTGGTTTTCCCCCCAATCCCCTCGTGACCCGTATTTCCATGTTTTCATTGATCCAATTTTGGTGGGAAAATTGTTTTTCACCTTTATTTTTGGGTTATGGAAACATTCTCAATTGTAAAATTTTTTTTTTTCCCTTTAATGAATAATTTTAATGGAAAACAAAGACAAACGAACACTAAAAGATTCAAAATTTTAACATTTTTCTTATTTTCTTTGAAATTTATTTTCTTTTAACCTATTTTTCATTCTTGCAATCAAACGGACTTTAAAAGTCTCTTTGAGACTTATTTTTCTTAATAAATGTATTTTGAAATCGTAGGTTGATGAAAATTCTATGATTGAGTAGGATGTAGAACTTTTGAATTTACGTATAATATTATTTTATTGAAAAATGTGTAATTGAAAAGAAAAAGATAGAAAAACTGTTTCTAGAAAATAGCAGAGATCAAATAAGAGCTTTCTGATCTTTTTGTTTTTATGAAAAATGTGAAAAACAAATAAAGATCTGTCAAACTTGGTGTACATTTTATTTGACATTTTTTTTACAAAATGTCACGTAATATTCCATCATTTGATAGTTTTTTTTTTTTAAAAAAAAAAAAACCTCTTTTTTCATCAATACATTTTTGTCAACATATTTTTATTTTATTGAAAAATATATAATTAAAAATGAATCAAATAATGAAAATGAAAATGAAAATTTTCGGGTTAATTTCACAAATGATCACTGAAGTTACCTGAAAATTTCAAAACGATCACTAAAGTTTCAAAATTTCAGAAACGGTCACTGAAGTTTGAAATTTCTTTCAAAATGGTCA